GATTTATCCAGACCTAATCCAGACTTGTACAGGCTGATCCAGATTCTGGAAAATGATCCCCAGGACTTTTGGGACCTTTGGCAGAATTTTTCCGACCCTCTCCAGAAATTTCCGGGCTCTTTCCAGACGTTTCCAGAGAATTCCAGACATTATCCAGAGCTTTCCAGAGTTTTCCAAACTTCATCCAGATTAATCCAGACTTTATTCAGACTTGTTCAGACTGATACGGATTCTGGTAAATGATCCTCAGGTCTTTTGGGACCTTTTTCAGAATTTTTCCAACCCTTTCCAGAAATTTCCAAGTCTTTTCCAGACGTTTCCAGAGATTTCCAGACTTTTCCAGACAATAACCAGACTTATCCAGAGTTTTCCAGAGTTTTAGAGACTTTATCCAGATTTATCCAGACCTAATCCAGACTTGTACAGACTGATCCGGATTCTGGAGAATGATCCCCAGGTCTTTTGGGACCTTTGGCAGAATTTTTCCGACCCTTTCCAGAAATTTCCAGGCTCTTTCCAGACGTTTCCAGAGATTTCCAGACTTTTTCAGACCTCATCCAGATTTATCCAGACATTTTCCAGACTTGTTCCAGCTCACTTGGCTTGTTCCAGGTTCTTGTTGTGTGTTAATATAAGCGTGTTAAAAAAGTGTCGCTTTTTCGTTTCATCGAGTCTCACATCACTCACCAACGATTCTAAAGAAGTTTTCACTTCAAAATTAATGTTTTCATTTAAAAAAATAAAGTTAGCTATCACAACTTGTTTCTGGGTCACCCTGTATACATGATATTATCATCAGAAAAACGGCAACTGAAATCAAAAATCGATGTGTCCGAGGTTTTCATGAGCAATCTCACCAATGTGTGAAATTAACACTTTTCCTTTTTATTATTTTTCTAGGTTTTCTGGAAGTTCTTTATGTAATAAACGAATAAACATCATCTCTCCCACCCTCGCAACTACCTCACTTTTTTTTGGTGTAAACATTTCAAGTATCTATTTTGCTGTATTTGTATAGGTAAATTTTATTATCTTCGTAATATATTTTTGTGTTTCCGCACATTTCATTCTCCACATTCTTAATTGTTAAATAAAAAGCACAATGTAAATTATAAAACTATTATTATAACTGTATACTTTTTAATTTATATTAAATATGATAGGTGTATTAGTTTTGCCTCCACAAAAGCCCATAGGATTTATTATTCACCTTCCATGCAATTTGATCACACCCTTCCGTTATCTCGGAAATATTTGCCGTAACGTCGTCTATCACGGTCCTACTTTGAACTCGGCGACAAAGAATGAATTTCGCGCGCTTGAATTTGTTGCTGGCCTGGAATATCTTCAAAAAATTTGCGTTGCTTACTCTATTTGAAGAAATTCTTTAAAGACGAATGGTTCCTAACCTATTGCATTAATTACCAAAATATCTATAAGAATTTAACTAAAAAAGCAAAAGAAACTTATTACAAGAGTAGGCTAAACAAAGCAAAAAACAAACAAAGGGAAAGTTGGAGGATCATAAATGATATATGCCAGGAGGTCAAAAAAAGCACATGAAATGAACATTGATGTTAATGAGTTAAATAAATTTTATTGCTTCGTTGCCAATACTCTAACCAAGGATAGGTATTCCATCTACTGAAGATCCCCTTATTTACTTGTCCGACATGACATGTCAATCTCCGGTTCCTTTCAGTTTTTTCCTGTTGAACGCGAAGAGGTAATTGATGCCATTAAAGATATAGCAAACAAAAAGTCTAGTGGTGAGGATGAAATTTCAGGTGAGGTATTATTAAAATTACCTGACAATGCGTTTGCTGCTCTTTGTTATGCCATAGATGACTCTTTTAACAGGGGTTCTTTCCCCAGTTGTTTGAAATCTTCACTGGTCATTCCAATCCATAAGGGAGGTGACACAAATATACCCTCAAACTACAGACCAATATCTCTTCTTCCAACATTGTCAAAGGTTATTGAAAATATTGTCAAAAAACGAATGTGGAGCTACTTCACCAAATACAAATTAATCACTCCAAAACAATACGGATTCCAGGCCGCTAAAAATACTCATGATGCTATTTTAATTTCCTTGAAAAAGTCTATTCCAATCTTAATGGTGGTGAAGCTGTCGCGGCAGTATTCTGTGACCTATCCAAAGCATTTGACTGCTTGGATCACGGAATACTGCTGCGAAAGCTAGAGCGTTATGGGTTTCGTGGACAGGTTCTACGATGGTTCAGATCATACCTAAGCTATCGTAATCAGTCAGTTGTCAACTTGGACATGCGTTCTTCTTCTTTAGAGATTAATTGCGGGGTACCACAGGGGTCTGTTCTGGGCCCTTTATTATTTTTGATTTACATCAACGATGTTACTCGTCTCAACATTTTAGGTCTATTTACTCTATTTGTGGATGATACCTCTGTAGTATGGCACCACAAAGACGTTAATATCCTAAAAACCACTTTATCGGAAGATCTTGTTAAAATAAAAAGTTGGTGTGATGCTAATCGCTTGTGCTTTAATGTAAATAAAACAAACATCTTATGCTTCAAATGTGACTTACAACATATAAATTTGGGAGATGATCCAATTCAGAACCCTAAAGTTAATAAATTCCTTGGAATTCACATCGACAATGAGCTAAAGTTTGAAGACCACATTATGAAATCAAGTAAAAAACTTTCCTCTGGTTGCTTCGTAATACGATGTTCGAGATCTGAACTGGGCGAGAATGTGCCAAGGACAGTATACTTTTCCCTGTTTAGAAGTCATCTGAGGTATGGAATTCCATTCTGTGGTGCAGCCAGTCAATACTCATTGAGAATGCTTCTCACCTTGCAGAAGAAGGCTGTGAGGTTCATATGTGACATAAATCAGAGGGTATCTTGCAAACCTTATTTTGTAAAACACAAGATCTTAACCATACCATCTCTCTTCATACTGGAAACAGTCAGTGGCGTAGCCAGCCTTGCGGGGCGGAGGGGGCAAACATATAAGGGGCGCATAATTCTTTGGGGGGGGGGGGGGGGGAGGATAACAAATAAATGTTCGTAATTGTCTGCTTTCGTAATATTTTCTTATTCGGGAAGATATCAAAGACGAAAGGCCCGGAGGCGAAAAATTTTCTCGAGTGCCACGCCCAAAAAAGTTTATTGAAGCCTTCAAAAACATTTTTTTTTCCGGGTACCAGGCCGAAAAACATTTATGTATTTTAAACCTTACAAAAAATGTGTTGACATGCCGTTAACTTCAAAAAATCCTCCCGGAACGTTTCCGGGGACGCCTTGAAAACTGAAACACATCCGGGGAAATCCGGACGGATGACAGCCCCACCCAACCCAATAAACAAATACCACATCAATCATCAAAACAGAGAAACTATCACCTTTCCTTTGATTGAACTGAACCATTTGCCGACAATGCCGACTTACAATAAAGAATAAAGAGTGAAGAGGTCAATAAAATAAATAAGAAACAGCATAATTTTATAATATTTTATTTTTTGCTTTTGTTTTTCAAGAGCTGTAGTGGCGCCATACCTGTGGTGGCGGGGGGAGCCGTCGCCCCCCCCCTGCTCCCCTACTGGCTACGCCACTGGAAACAGTCTGGTTTTTAAAAATTACAGAAATGCCAGTTGTCATAATGAATCCCAAAGGTCCACACGACAGTGCGGTAGTTTGCCTTTATACCAAGGAGCGCTCTTGTTCAAAGATCTCTTATCTATGAAGGAAGAAATTTTTTCAATTATTTGCCATTAGCATTAGACAGGCCGGTACCGTTAGGGTGTTTAGAAGAAAACTTAAAATTGCGCTTTCAGAGAAATCATATTACAGTATCACTGAATATTTTGATGACCAGTTGTGATATCTGTGTTTCTATGTTTGTAGTGTCTAACCATTCACCTATTTATTGTGTAAAACTTTCTGTACATTTTTTTAAATTGTTTGTAGTGTCTACCGTTTACTTATTTATTGTGTAAAACTTTCTGTGCATTTTTTTTTTTAAATTATTTTAAGGATATTAATGTGATTGTTATAGCAACTTTGAAGACTCTAAACTTTCTGTTCCTTTTTTTTTAATTGTTTTATAGATATTGATGTGATTGTTATATTAGCTTTAATAACTCTGTACCAATTAGCTTATAGCCTGCTTTGTCGACTAAATTATTGACAATAAAGTACTTTTTGAATTGAATTGAATTGAAATGAATTGAATGGGAGTAAGCAGAATCACCCCGATAAGTAGGGGTATAGCGCAAATGAAGTTTTTTTTTTTGAATGATAAACAAAAAAATATATCTTAGTAAAGTTTTGCATTTAGAGCATAAAAATATCTAAAATTAGTAGCCAATAACAAAAAAAAAAAAAAATTATCACAAAAATTCTTTAATTTACTCTCTCTCTCTCACTCACTCACTCACTCACTCACTCACTGACTCACTCACTCACTATTACTGAGATAACTTGCGACAAAAAACCTTTATCACCTATGATCCTACCAAATTAAACAGGAAAAGCTGAAAATTATTAGGATAATACATTAAAATAAAATAAGAATAGCTTTCGGATTATCAAATATTTTCAACAGAATAGACGTAAAAAATGCGACTTTTCCAAAAATCATACAACAGTTCATACATGGCGTACTAACTCTTTGGTTCTCAGTTCGAATGATTTTTTGGTTCCATTTTTAAATTCTCCAGAAAAAAAAATATTCCAATTATTAGGGATTTTCTCAAAAATACGGAGAAAGTCAAAAATTTACCCCTGTTCGGTCTGCGCTGGATGACCCTGTACATACCTACGTCAAAACAAAAATCTCTAACCGAAAAAACGGAGAAAAATTCCTCGGTAGATTTTGGTTTGGTGAGTAAACTATCAAACCGGTATCGCACCGGTTCAGTCTGGTTCAGAGACCGGTGAATTTTGAAAAGTGCCCTATTATTGAACCGCCGCGGCGGTGTATCAGACAGTAAAGTAACTTTTTAATACTTTTTATAAACAAATAAAATTATCAGGTACAAGTACAAGTACCGCTGTAATAAAGTTAAATTTTTATAAAGATTCCAATAATTGGCTTGGAAGTTGGTAACTAGGTACATATTTATATGATGTAGGTAGAGTAGTGCGATTCTGGCAATTGAAATTCTACAACATATTATTTTGCAGTCTGAATGTCTAGGTAGGTATCGGTATCTACCAAATTTCTGTACCTAGATTATTGTCTGAAAATACTTAGCAACTGATCATTGGCTTCCAATCAGAACCAGTTGTAGAACCGTTGAAAGTGCTCGAACAGGCAAGTATTCACTCATTTATTTCAATTTGTTACTAATCAAGACCAAAACTAATTAAAAAATGTCTGTATCGAGGTCTGTATGTTTGTTATGTAGGTATTTTGTATTGCTCAGTGTATGACTGTGATACCCTCTAAAGTTCGTAATCTTGTAGCTAACACAGCCATCACATTGGAGGGACCTGTAATAAACTGCCTTAAGTTGAAGAATATACAACGGAATCTTAAAATTTCAATACCAAGTGCGCGAAATATCAGAGTTCCTAAACGAGTACTAGTGCCATTATAAATATTGTAATTTAGTGTTTCAGAGCTTCAATATCGAAAAAAAAAAAGTAAAACCTCAAGAAAAACCAATAAGTAATGAGTAGATCACTAGTAGGAATACGAGTAGGAATATTGATGTACTTCATTCTAAATTGAATATCTCTATAAGGTGATCATTTTCGGAATGTCAAGATTGTTAGTAGTTGCAATCAGGGGTTCCAGTTCATAATATTTTCCGTAAACACCATAGCAAAGTTTACCCATATGTAGGGATGTAAGCCAATTTTTCTGACAGTGTCATGTCACAGTCAAAATGAAAATGACGGTCACATCATTTATTTTTATGACACTCTTGTCATTTATTTTTTTATGCATTAAATTTCTGACAGTCAAAATAATAACTGACCCTCATTAAAATATATGACAGTCATTGAGATATATGACAGTGTCACAAAATATCAGGGTCCGAGTCAGGGTCCTTATTCTTGAAACAGGGGAGCAGCGTTCCCAGGAGAACAAGTGTTCTGTCTTTGTTACTCATATTATCAGTTGCATATCGCTGAGAAAGACAGAACACTCGTTCTCCTGGGAACGCTGTTCCCCTGTTTCAAGAATAAGGACTCTACTGACTCTCAATATTTACTGTCAATCTTGTGGAGGAGATGGGAGTGTACCTTCTAACTCATTAGATGGCTTTGATGCTGATGACTGTGAAACTGAAGAAGAACTATAGTCAACCAATCAAATATCTGATTATTGATTTAAGTTATGTTATGTTCTACATTGACTGTAAATAAATTACCATAAATGACAATAAATGACAAAAATAACAAAAAAATTAATGTCATTTGACATCCCTACCCATATGTGATATGTGGGGCACCTGTTATACATAAAACCGCATACGAAAATGAACTGTTGTGTGAAATTAGGAAATAAGGGTGATAACTAATATAAAAAAATCTTTGTTTCCTAGGCAGAATCCGGTACAAGTGTAATGGAAGTTAGTATAGAGAGACTCCCTGTTAAAAAGGGTGTCCTAAAACATGCTGATGGAAGAAAAGCAGATACTTTTGATGAGAAAAAGCCTAAAAAAAGGGTGGGCATTGACGAAAGTGAAGCATTAAGAGTGAAGAAACAACTAGCATCTGGAGTACACTTTTCAGCCAAAGATTTACCAGCAAAAATTATTAAGTCAAAATCAAACAAAAACTTATTTCAAGAAGTAAAAGTGGTGGATTCAACCAAATATAATTTTAGGCCAAGGAATCAAAAACAAGGAGCAAGTGTGAAAATTTCGGAAAAAGGTAGGTACACGAGAACAAAATCACTAACTCACACAAACTAACCTAGGCTCTATGCAATTCACAAAGGCTATATTTTAAGTTTTATAATGCTTTACAATGGGGATGAAAAATGGTAAGCTTTTGAATTTTGGGCTATGAACAACTGGCTATAAGTGCAGGGGTTCCACAAGGATCTGTTTTGGGACCTCTATTATTTTTATTGTACATCAACGATCTGTCTAGCATTGATATAGTTGGGGTATTTACACTGTTTGCTGATGATGCCACGATTCTCTGGGTAAATAAGGATGTAGAACAGCTTAAATCGGATATCAATAATGATTTAGTTAAGGTAAAAGAATGGACTGATGCGAATTGTTTAACTTTTAATGTGTCGAAGACAAATGTGTTAACATTTAAATGTGGTTTTGAGGGAATTACCTTAGGGGCAGATACTGTTGCCAGTCAAAAATCGAGTAAGTTTTTAGGAGTATACATAGACGATAGATTAAAATTTGAGCCTCACTTAACATACGTGAGCAAAAAGGTGTCATCAGGATGTTATGCAATCAGAGTAATATCGAGTAAGCTAGATCTAGGGACAACAAAAAGTGCATACTTTGCACTCGTTGAATCCCATTTGCGGTATGGAATATGTTTCTGGGGTTTTTGTTCATTGTCTCTCTCTAATATGTTGTTTGTGTTGCAAAAGAGGGCGGTAAGGTATATGTTTAAGATAGGATTACGAGACTCATGTAGACCATTGTTTTTGCGTCATAAATTGCTTACATTTCCTGCTATTTTTTTACTAAAGACTTCATGTCTCGTTCATAAAAAGTTTAAGGAAAACATACACGAATTTTCATCTGTACATACTTCTCGACAAACATACAATGTGAACCTTCCTATCCCTTCCTCCACACAAACAAAAAACTCAATAATCTATCAAAGTAAAAAGATCTTTAACCATCTGCCACTGCATCTGAGACAGATAGTATCTGGTAAAAAATTTAGAGTAAATCTTAAGAGGCTTCTATTATCAAAGGCCTACTATAGCACAGAAGAATTTTTCCAAGATGCTTTCTTGTGACTCTGAATATAATTTGTAGTTTTATTTAATGACTTCTGTGTTTGTTGACTTTACATTTGTGTAATTTTGATATTTTTTATTTTATATTTTAGAATGAACATGTTTTTGTATTTATGTTGATTTATGTTTATATTTATGTTGATTTTTAAAGTGACTTCATCTTTTGTTTTAATGACTGTTTAAATGATTTTATTGTTTTAGTCTGACCTTGTATTGTATTTTTATTTTAATTATTTTAATCTTGGTACTCTATGGCCCTGGAATTATTTTTTCCCCCTTTTACAGCTTTGTCAACGAGAATTTTGTTCTTAGACAATAAAGCATTTTTTGACTTTGACTTTGACTTTGAACTAATTGTACCAGATTTATTTTTTAAATGGGATACCGTGTATATTAGGATCGATATTAAGGATTGATGTTCAAATTTCACAGATTTTTTTAGAACTTTTCTGTTACATGTGCTATATTGTTATACATATCCTAAGCCGGGAAGCTGTGAATATATTTCAGATTTTTATTTTTGCGTCAAGACGATATTACAAAACCCCACTATGGATATCCAAAAGAATAATACTGTGATTATACAAACATTTTATAAAACCTGCATCAAACCTATATGTATATTGAATTTATGTTTAAATTATCAATAGTAATATAATGAGTGCAATGGAAATTATTGATGATTTTTGGGAAGTTTGCCCGAATGTATTTAGTTTAGTTGAAAAAGAGCACGAGTGCACGTAGTGCACGAGTGCCTTTTTTAGTTAAAAACCGAGTTAAAAACGCATGAGTGTAAATTTGTCGAAAATTATAAATATATTTCCATTGCACGAGTTGTATTTAATGAGAGAATTTCATAAATCAAAAATTAATTTTTTTTGTCAAAAAATGTCAAAACACCAGTTTTCGCACCAGTTACGGCAATTATCTGATAATTTGCACTAGTGCAAATTATCGCGTAATTCCAATCTGATAGGTTCAAATCAACAATCAAAACATGTCAGTTCATTGTTGGAATACGAGTTTTGACAGATGTATGAAATTCTCATTAAAATACTGGTAAAAACATTAAAATGGTGTGGGTACAGAATCTCAATAATTTTGAGTATTATTTGAGTGAAGTTTTTTTAAGAAAGGAATAATATTATTCCACCTCATTTGTAGTTTTTTTGTTGTTGTTGATCCATATATCAGTTTGGTTTCCTAATTTTTTAACCTACCCTGAATACCATCTATTCTCCGCCGTGAGAGTTTCTATACTCGCAAACAAATATTTTCTCACATACACATTCAAGTTCCGCTACCTTTTCCTTCAAAATAAGTCCTTCCTGTTGAAGAAAACTTAGGTCATAAAGTCATAACCATCTCTTTGAGAATATTATTCAAGAGTCGCAGCATTATTTGTCTGCTCTGAGATTCAAGCAACCCATTTTAGTTTGAGCACTCACAGTGTTTCAAATTTGTGTTTCGGTTTGTGGACGAGTCTCATAGTTATTGCGAATGGCCAGTTGTTTAATTTTTTTGGTTCAGTCCCAGATTTTGGGATTTGAGAACGTCAATATCGTTTAAAAGTTGATCCTCGGTGTTAGTAACATCTTCAAGAAATGACGCAGAACTACGGTTCAGGCGAGTAATACTTGATGTTTTTCGTGAAGCCCTTTTTGCATCTCACTCATTATTCACCCGAGTTCGTCAGTTGTTTCTAAGTCATTTTTTGTCGCCCTGTCTTGCCTATGCCATCTTAAATCTTTAGAACACCAAATTGAAATTCCACCAATAATTGGGCAATGACTCTTCAAACAGCTTTCAGGTAAAACGCTTTTACAGACGAAACAAAACTATTTTAGCCCCCAAAAAAAAAGGTTGGGAAATACTGTTTTTTACATTTTCAGTCCTCTTCCTTGCAACATCACCATGTAAATTCATTTATACTTTTAGATCCAAATATGATGCCCAAAAATGATCAGCTAATACTTATAAAAAGGATACAAAAATATATTCCAAATAATGACCAAAAAGGCTATCAATACAGGCTCAAACACTTAGAATGGCAAAATGTAACTACTTTTAGACCATTTTATCAATTGTTGATGATGATACCATAGTTTTTGATTTTTTAGGTCGCATTTAAAGATTACACTATAAATCAGTGCAAACAAATATGGTCAGAATTATCCAAAAAAGTTCGGCGTGGCAGATTACCACATGAGATTAGTAGTGACATTAACAAAAGAATGAAATCTAACAGAAAAAATTCAACCAAAAAAGTATGTATGTGTCTAACATATAATTATTTGTTTTTTTTTTGTGATCTAGCAACGAAACAACCTGATTTGCAAGGCATATTTCTTTAGATTTCATGTAACTATTTATTTAATTTTCCACATAGGAAAAATAGGATTTTGTTTGACTTATACTGAAATTATATTCAAGTTCCTTATATGATACTGATATTAATCATTTTCAGGTTGCATTTACTAAATATATTACAGAAACATTCAAGAAATTGCCCATGATAAAAAAACTCAAACATCATATGATGGCTCTAGACGTTCGAGTCAATGGAGGTAGGAAAAGTTTTCCAGATGGTTAATACAGGTTTGTTCCAAAAATATTATCATAGTGAATTTTATTGATCAATATTTTTCATGCGTAGGTCTCCAAGAACCAGACAACCAATGTTTAAAATTACTTTTGTCTACTTAATCATTACTGATTCCGCGAGACGAGACAAGACTTGAGGTTGGACCACCAAAGTCTCGTCTCGACTGGTCTCGTCTGGACTCAAGTTATATTTGTGATTTTTATTTTCATATTATTACAGTAGTCCAAACTGTGACACTGAAAAAGCAGTTATTGGAAGCGTAAAAAATCACAGTGAAGAGCAACTGTGATTTTTAATAGTTAAGGTTTATGTTGCTTTAAATGTTTAAATAATAAATAGATCAACAGACAGCAAAAACTGATTTTATTGCATATTTCATTTTTCATTTATATACATATTTTTATCTACCCACAGGGTCCTTTTTTTTGTAGAATCATAAAAGAAATATGTACGTCAAATAAGAAAAAATATGTTGGAAAAAACAGTTTTTGAAAAAAGAATCACCCTGTATTTTCTTGGTGAAATAATGGAATGCTTTCTACATACTTTATCTGATCGAACTTTTTTTTTCCAGAAAAGTATAGGAAAGAGAGGGAGAGAGAGAGTAATTATATATGTAAATAAGTAGGTACTTAAATTATTATTAGACCTGGAGCTTAGAGCTATATTTAGGTGTTACAAGTTTAGAATTCATTACTTAAGAGACTAGGCATTAGTTTAAAGTTTAACAATAATAGCGAAAGTTGTTGCAGACAAAAAAAAAATAAAATAAAAAAACATATTATATAAAATACACATTTGAGTACTCGATTATTCAAAAAAATTATTAAATAGTAGAGACTTTAACTTCTTCTTGAAGGCATCGCCTCTTGGGCAGTCTCTGAGAACATTAGGAAGTCTGTTGTAGTAAGCAAGGCCCTGGAAAAACACACTTCTCTGTCCTCCAGTTGTTCTCATTGCTTCTGGTCTTAGGGTATTTCTTTGTCTGGTGCTATAGTTGTGGATTGTATTTGTTGGAGTGAAAGCAAGGTTTTAGTGAATATTTGATATTATGCAGTTGTGGATGAAAGTACATATTTGAAGGATGTATAGGGACTTTATACTCAGGATGTGATTAGGGTTGTAAAGGCTAGACGTTGGATACAGCAATGAAAGCTGGAAATGCTGGAATATTTTCTTTATAGCTTTGTGTTAGAGTGAATCAGCGAATAATAAATCATTTTACGTTGCGATATGTTGATGTATCTGGCAACTCTACCAAGAATCCCTACAGTGGATGCTATCTTTTTGCAGACTTTGGATATATGAGGTTCCCATGTAAGCCTATGATCGATGAGTAAACCAAGATACTTGATACATAGTTCTTTCTTGAAGTTAATTGGCCTAAATTTAGGATAACATTCTGCCAAGTAGCATTGTTGGAAATAATCATATAGCTACATTTTTTTGAGTTAAGTGAGACTTTGTGGAAACATAGCCATTTATTAATGGTTGTTAGATCTTGTTCTATGGTTGTTTGAACCAAGTTAAGGTCTCTTCCAGAGTATACCAGGCAGGTGTCGTCCGCGTACAGATATATGGCAGATCTTAGACCAAGTTTTGTTACAGAGTTGAGAGAAGAGAGTCGGTCCTAGGATAGATGTGTGGTACTCCACATCTGATGTCAGCTGGAGTGCTTAGTGTATTATTAACAGTCACTTGTTGTATTCTACCCAGTAAGTATTCCCTCAACCAAGCTAGTGCCATTTCTGTCACGCCATTCTTCTTTAATACTGATATTAATATGCTGTGATCAACAATATCAAAAGCTTTTTGAAGATCCAGTGAAACAAAAACACAGCTATTAACCTTGTCTACCTACTAGTTCTGTAGCTGCCGGAATTGTACGTGATTTTTTCCTGATACCATACTGCTGTTTGAAAAAGGCGTTAGATGATTCAAGGAAGTGCACAAGTTAATGGAATAAAACCACTGCTCTAACTCGCTGTTTTCTGAGGGTGGGTGATTCCGAGGTATAACCAGATGAAATATCATCTTGTAGAGGACACTTTGGGGCATAGGAAATGGGAATGTACAACTTTTTTTAATAGGACTGAACTTTGAAATCGGCCCTTAAACGTGACTGAGCTCGAATTTGAAAAACTATGTTTTTCTAAACATTACCCGCTGTATTAATTTAAGCATACAATCTAAAATTCTGATTTTTTGCACACTTATACTTGAAACATGAGCGTTCTAATGACAATTCAGAAATTTCGAAAAGGCTCAAGGTTTTTTTGTTAAAAAGTTAGGAATATAGAATTATCAAAATCGTGCATCTTAAACTTCACACATGTGTCAACAGGATGCGATACCACAAATGCAAAGGCAAAGAATGTATTTTCTAAAAATCTTGGAACCTTATATTGCCACCGCATTGGCCCTATTCAGAAATAAGAACGAGGCCCTAAAAACCCTCGATTAATTGAGATATCAATATTGACCACAACTTCCAATAAATCCGCTTCTGAACTTCTACCCACAGATGATACATTTTACCAGCATGAACTGAGCTAGGTGTATATATAACAAAAGAAGCTGTATTTATGCGATAAACAAAATTTCAGGTGCATATATCAACTGCGTATATGGATATCCAGTCGTATACCTATTATGCCTTTACTCGACCCTGTGAACTTTGGTTGGACTAGGAATAATGGAATTTTTGAGAGTGTTTTGATGACTGCTGATGCCATACCAAAGGATATAAGGCAACTGATGAATGTCTTCTGCGAAGATAAATTATGTCAAAATAATGAATGTGTCTGCTTGAAAGAGGGTTTAACATGCTGCAGCGATTGTTCCTGCAAAATAATGTTCCTGATTTATATGAGGATGACGAAGGAGAAAATATTTAAACTAACTTCATAAAAAAGGATTCAATCAATTACTTTATGTTTATAGATTTTTTTATTTTATTTCTAGATGTAACGCTAACGCACTAATGCAGATGATTTCCAGAATGGTAGCCGCTAGCCGCTTTCAGCATCAGAGCGCATTTCAAAGCTCCCGGATAAAAATTCATATTTCTAGAACCGTTAAAGTTAGCGACTTAGTTTTTTTTTTCAAAAACTTCGTCAATGTTATTACTACATTTGATTCGATATATATGTATAGAAATTTTCAATAATTCACATTGCTGGCCGCAGGGTGAAGTTTTAGATGCACGATTTTGATAATTCTATATTCCTAACTTTTTAACAAAAAAAACCTTAAACCTTTTCAAAATTTCTGAACTGTCATTAGAAGCGCTCATGTTTCAAGTATAAGTGTGCAAAAAATCAGAATTTTAGATTGTATGCTTAAATTAATACAGCGGGTAATGTTTCGAAAAACGTAGTTTTTCAAATTCGAGCTCAGTCACGTTTAAGGGCCGATTTCAAAGTTCAGTCCTACTAAAAAAAGTTGTGCATTCCCATTTCCTATGCCCCAGAGTGTCCTCTACAAGATGATATAGGTTTCATCTGGTTATACCTCGGAATCACTCAAAGTCATAATTTCATTGTGATTTTACTCCACTAAGTTGATCGTTGACACAGGCCTCCAATATTTTGGACAGTGCGGCAAGGATAGAGATTGGTCGACAGTTGCTTGTTATTTTAGTATCTCCAGTTTTGAAAAGTGGTACAATTTTGGCCCTGTTCAGTGAATTTGGTATGCTGGTGATGGTAATTGTTAAATTAATAAGTCTGCATAAAATTGGTATTGGCGTATTGCAGACACCTTTGTCAGATTTATATGACTTTTTTCACCATTAGCTTCATCAACTTGTGTAGAAAAATATACTTTTTCGGCAAACGTCAAAAAATGACGACTTTTTTACCTCAATTCTTAATGTTGAAATTTCACTTCACAGGCGTCATTACTTTTTTGTCCGCGCGTTCCGTAAGCGTACAAAAAAGTACTTTTTTGTACGCTCACGGCCGGACAAAAAAGTGACGTCACAGAAATTTCCTAGATTCCATCGCTTTGAACACCGTTTGCGGAAAATATCGCGTTTTATTCGGAGAAAAGCACTTGTTGCGGCGAGACTAAATGTTTGACAAAACTTTTACTCCTAATAAAACAATATACTATTTTTTAAATTATTCACTTCCTGCCTTAGGATGCTTTGGGCTGTTTTGTAAGCCTCACGCAGAAATTCACTGTTTGGAAATTTTTTGGATCTTTTATAATGGTAGTCTCCAACCTGCGCTAGTTCATGCAGGTGTACGTTAAACCAAGGGGAACTTTTCTTGCAAAATCTGTCTTTAAATGTTTTTATTGTGATGTTATTTGAGTAAATTGTGATCATACAAAGTATTGGGGTCATTCCACTCACAACTATTGAGATCAACAAGTTGCATTCTAAATTTAGACTTATTTAGAATGGTCCTTGATTGGATCTTTGCTGGATTACTTCTAGTTTGTAAGAGGTGCACTCTATGGTCACTTATAGGATGGTCAAGTATAGATATTTTTGTGGAAAGAGTATCAGTATTTGATAGCACATAATCGATAAGAGTTTGAGAGTGCTCTGTAATTCTTGTAGGCACAGATTTGTTCGATATTTTAAAACCATTTGATGTAATTAATGGTATTGTAAAATAGTCTTTGCTGGGTATTATAATTTAGGAAGTCTACATTGAAGTTCCCTAAGATATAAGTTTTTGGTTTATTACAGAATGCATTAAGAACATTGTCAAGTAAATCAACAAAATCTTGGTAATGATAGTCTGGAGGTCTCAAACTTAAAGTATGTAGGTGTGCAACTCTGGATTAAATATACAAAGTAGAGGCCTTGATGCTGAATGGTCAATAATGTATTGTCTTGCTAGTTTTTCTTCTTTGTCCCAAACAAATAAAGCTTCATTTGCTCGGGTGAGTTTGGTAATGCATGCGGTGCGAGTATAGCAAATTCAGGTATAATTTAACGAAAATAACCTGCCAGACGCATCAGTTGTCGAACGTGTTTCGTAGACGCTTCCTTGAAAAAAATGGCATTTTTTCAAGTTTTTGAAGTTCTTTCAGGACGGAGTCTAGTGAGTGAGAATTTTCAAGTTACGGAAGGAATCAAAACATCATCTAAGTAACTAGTCCTACTATGTTTTTCAGTTCTCTTAAAGCCTTATAAATTACCCTCTGAAATACCGCTGGAGCATTGGCAAGTCCAAAGGACATACGGCGATATTCGTAGTGCCTGTCGGGCGTAATAAAAGCTGTCCTTTATATGGAGTCTTCAGCAATGGGAATTTGATGGAATCCGGATGACATATCTAAGTAAATATTTTCATTCCTTTTCCAATTCTATCAAGCTGATCATCGATTAGCGGAAGGGGGTGTATCTATCTTTTAAGGCATGAGAATTTAATTCCCTAAAATCCACACACATTTTAAATGATCCTTGTTTTTTTCTGACAAGTATTATGGGGCTGGCATACGGAGAGTCGCTCTCTCGAATTATGTTGTTAGTGATAAGATCATTAATTATTTCTCTGACAGTTTTTCTTTCAGTCGCCGCCAACCGATAGGGATTTCTACTTACAAAAAAATCATCACGTAACTTTATTCCCATAGTAGCATTTCCAGTAGCTATTGTGTTTTCAAAACGAGACAAAAGATTCATAAGGTCAGGTTTATATACAGAGTGGTCCATTGAAAACTATCCACCTAGATTTACCGGTTTTTGTGAAATTTAAGAAAAAAATGCTCGGACACGTGTATTTTGTTTCGGAGGGGGAAATATTATCTGCATATTTTTAGCCCTGTCACTTTCAACCCCTAACGGGGGTGGGCTCCAACCCCTTAATCTTTAATGGAAAGATGGGTCGAGTGATAGTTCGTTTGAAAGGGCACGAAATTAGCTTTCCAATGGTACCCTGTTTGTCGGATTTTCTTTCGACAGTTAACGCGAAAACGACGCTAAGAGCCTCACTCCTGTATTTTTGGAATCAATAAAATGAAGGACTTAAATTTCAGTTATCGCGATTCAAAAGAGCTACAATCATAATTCAAATTACTTATTTAAGTAAAAACTCATTGTTTTGTTTTGTTATCTTTTATCAGAATAAAATGCATTCATTTATTGTGTGCGTT